CCAGTTTATTAACAAGCGAACACTGCCGGGCTATACTCACTATCCACTTAACAATTCGATTATCACCCCATAGAAATTGAGAGCGAATAATCTAAATGCTTTAGTAGAATTTTAACTCAAATTAACGCAGATAACGGTTTCCAATTATTTTTTCTTCGCATTATTAAGCTTTAAAATGCTTTAACAAAATCAAACGGACTGAATTGTCATGGGAAATTCGCAGTTATCTACGCGCGCGCACCCGTTTCTTTTTTTCAATAATTTCAAGTTTTTAAAGTCAAAAAACCGTTTATGTCCTTCCTTTAATCTTCTTAGGAATTTAATTATCCATTTGGATCTGACCTTTCCTCCAAAACTTCGGGAAAACGAAAGACAACGTCGCCATTTCGTAGACGACCGCGGCCACTGCACTTTAATAGCCGATAGTATATTAGTAGGTCAGCCAATCAGATTGCAGCATTTGCATTAGTATACCAGTAGAATTCTACTAATAAGGGTTAGAAAAGGACTAAAGATCTATCTAGCATGAACCTGTTCAGACTAGCTAACTTGTAACTTGTGAAACTCAGTTTAAAAATCAAATGCAGCGAAAATGAAACATTAGTTCATATGCGTGTATTTAAAGCCTTTTTATTGTTCAAGAACTCACATGATTGGCCGTACTGATATCAGGATCAAATCCATCAATGTTGGTGTACGGGTGATGACCAAAAATATGCTGGAAATATATCAAACAGTGAGATGCAAAATAAGCAAAAAAGAACAACATAAATATTAATAGTGGCCCACGGCCGATTTAATGCCTTTCATGTTAACATACACGTGACATCAGGACATTACAGTTACTCCCGCCTGCTGATTGGTTAATTCAAATTTCCGAAGCACCGGCATGGCAATACCAGGGAGATTTTCTCTCGTTCAATCTCTCATGGTTATTCTATTCGTACTCTCGACAGCATTGGAGTGAGAATAGATACCTGCTGTGTCTCATTAACCAGTGGATCATTCAAAAAACAAATAAACTTCATAGTTTTAGTTCGGAGTCAATTTGTGTTGCATACAAGCCTTTTTTTCAGTTAGTTGACTTAAGTTTGACTTGGTTCGGAATTATTTCACGAGAGGCAGGCTTTGAGATTTTTCTGAGCTTTTACTTTTTTTCTCGTTTAAGCCTCCTAACTCCCCTGTTTTTGGGTATGTTTAATTCATGTAAGCTTGAAACTCTGACCTGATGAATCCAAACATGATAGGAACATCCGTTGAGGTAGTCGTGAATATGGCCAACCACTCTCCATACAATGGGATTACTTGTCACAGCAAAATGACTGAAAGAAAATCCATGAAACAAACAATGTGATGAACAAAAAACACACACAATAAACTATTCCCAGTTTCTATCCTTACATGTACGAATAGTTATTTTACATGGCTAGTAGCCTCATAGGTGCCAAGATTGAAATCGATTACATATCATCACTTGCGAAAAATTTCGGACGATTTTAATTTCGGACAAAAAAGTGTCCGAAAATAAAATCGTCCGAAATTTTTAAACGTCCGAAATTTTAATCGTACTCAAGTTAAACGTTTTATACTGAGATGTAATTATTTCGGACTTTAATTTGTTCTTGAGTTCGTAATTTCTTGGGCGATGCCATCACATGTATTAAACATGAATGAGTTAGAACTCGGATTACGCTGTGCCCGATCTTTTTAACACTATAGTCGAACCTCCCGTAAGCGGCCACCCAAAATGTCAAAATGTCAAGCCTAGGGGGTCGCTTACTGGCGATGGTCGCTTACGAGAGCTTAGACCATATTGGGTCAACATTGTGCCACATTAGCATATGGTAATTGCAAAGAATTTCCCCACGTTTAAAATGTTTTATTCATCTGATCATGTGATAAGTCAATTTCGAGAAAAAATCCGGTACTTTCCATTGAGAAATTTCCGTCTCTTTTACTATCTAGAAATGCGATAACGTTACCACACCTAATCATAAATATTACAATTTCCTTAATTGTGATTAGTTTAAAAAAAACTCCTATTTCCCGCTAATTCACTTGCCAAGCTGTTATCGGACAGTTTGTTATCGGACAGTTCAATAAGCCAATCACATTCAAAGTTGTAGTTTAAATCAACCAATCACATTCGAAGTTGTAGTGTAAATCAATCAATCACAATCTTGGTTTCAATCACCATAGAAGTAGTGTGCAGACTCCTAAATTGGGGCTTTCTTCAAAATGGAGAATTTTTCCCCTTGAGCAATGACAATCTAATGACAGTCCTTTAATGCAAATTTTACCTTTCTATCATAACTTGGCTATTCTTCTTTTCCCTTATGATTAATATATTGGCAATAAGACTTCGTGTCGTCCAATCTGGTCTGTAATCATACTCGTAATAAACAAATCGGACTCCCGCTGCGCGGTCGTCCGATTTTGTTATCACTCGTATGATTACAGACCGAATTGGACTAGTCCACGCAGTCCTATTAGCATTACTTATTATCCAATTTACGCTATATTATCCGTCAAGTGGTCGCTTACGGGAGGTTACGAACAAGAGAAAATTTCAAACTTTTAGCTTTAAAATTAAAGTGGTCGCGGTCGCTTACAAGAGGTGGTCGTAAAAGAGGTTCCAAATATAGTGATTTGACTGGCAAACGTTTAGTATTTTGGAAAACTGGTCGCTTCGCAACCAGAGGTTCGATTGTAGAAAGAAAATTTTGTTTATAAAGAAAAAAAAAACCTAATGCAGATAAATTACATTTTCAGTCTTATTCGTGTTTGGTAGGCGTTAATTTAATTTAACTATGTTTTAGCAAAGTGTCCCGGTAATGTCTGTCCGAAATGAGATAAAAAATGTCCCGATCTGAAAATAAAAACGTCCAAATATTTTTGCCAGTAATGTATTATGTATTTATTAGTAGGCATTTCTCCTTTTTATATAAATTACCCTTCACGCACGCTAATATGGAAACATGGGATGTGCGGATGCCACCATGTTTTTAAACTGCTTTTCATCAGGTCACGATCGTCGCGAAATTAGCATTGACTCGTTTGCCTCAAGCATTACAGCAAGTGAAGGTGTCTCCTTCTAAAAGAAGACTTATGTTAATACCTTATCAAATGAAGGCATATTGGACAAGCATTAAGAGTAATTAGATAATTAGTTTGTTTAAATTTATGTAGGTACCTTGCATCGTGAATGTTTATCATACATGACAACGCAGAGAACCAGCCCAATAGAGCTGCCGCGATGCAAGATAGGAAGAGACTGTAGGACGCAAAGAACACCTGAAAAAACAAATTCAGCAAAAGCAATTTAACCAATAGAAAAGTATATACGTTCAATAGCCAAATAAAGAATTATAAACAAGAAGCTACAAAGATAGCTCTAAAACTGATTCAACATTGTTCTTTTCTGGCATTCCACCAAGCTCTTGATTCTCAGACGGTCCAGGTCACTCACGGCCACGCACTCTTTCCCTTCCTGTTCTTCGTCTTTTGCGTGGCTGCGAGCGGCCTGGATCGACTGAGAATCAGGTTACCAAGCACTTTTCAGACAACAGTTCAACCAACCTGTGCAAACCACATCAACACAACCAGGGATGGAATAATTAAGTGCCTTAACCACATCCATCCTGAGCTCTTCGGATCCTGTTAATATAATTTGAAGATTTAAAGTAGAAACTACATGGGAGCGGAGTTTTCAAGAGGGGGGTGGCTGGCACCCTACGATTGCAAAATCAATAGGGCATTCCCCCAAAATATTGCAATTTGAGAAGTAATGGTAATGTCACAAAGTAGAAATGACAATGAGGTTCCTGTCCAGACTGTTTGCCTTTATTCCAACCGTTTATATGCTCAATCTTTTTTTTTTCTCATATTTTTGCTTTTCCAAAAGAGGAGGGGATGACTAGCCATCCAATCCACCACCCCCCCTCCCCCCTCCTAAATCCTCCCCTGCTACAGTAAGGTACTCAAGTACTCACAGGATCGGCACGAAGGCTCCTGGGCCCACTAGGTTTATTTCCTTTAACGGTTTTTTAAAAACGTCTTTTTGACATTTGTTCAGGTTTTTGTTAAACATGATAACGGAGCTGACTACATTTGATTGAAACTTAAACTACGTCCTTTAAATCCGTTATTTCTTCACCCTTCGTTGAAGACAAAGTTACCACTTTACTTGCTAATTTAACATCATAGGATGTTCTTTGAAAAATGTTTCCTAACGTTTGTGCCTTTACACTGTGCTGTTTATATGCATGTGATGATGAATAAATTTGAAAGACAATTTTCCGAAGCAACAACACCAAGGAATGAAATGTTTTGGCCTTAAGAGCCAAGAAAAGAAAGGCAGAACAGGACATTTACCTGCTTCGTGTCCTTGAAATGTTGCCGTACCCTTTTTCTTACTGTGTTATAGAAAGCCCTACCAAAACAAACAACAAAGAGAACGCTTCAATTACCTCGGCGTTAACAAAATAAATTATTAAACTTTGAAATATGCGAATGCCTTATTTCCTAATATATCATGATCAAGTAGAGCGGTTGAATTTTGTAAGGAAATAACTCTAGCCAGTCACGGAGGACACGGGCAATTCAGTGAAGCAATCAAAACTCGAAGTAATTATATGTCGCTGACGCAAAGCGCGGGAAAACGAGTGCAAGCGAGGGGTCACAATTGGTTTGGTTTTACCTCTGATTGAAAAAAAAAAAAAGTGGCGCGAGGGTTTTTTTAAGCCAATCGTGTGGCGCAGTTGATGCAAAACCGATTACTTTCGACACTCAAGCGAAAACCGCTCTATGCAAAGGAATAAATAATTATGATAGTAATTAATGATGCAAGCATGATTAACCTTACCCAGGTTCTGGAAAAGTAGGGACATTACTGGTTACCAGATCACCGACGCAATACTTTTCTAATATTCTGTTGAAAGAATTGATATAAGTTAATTATCCACTCCAACACACTACCTTTTTGAATGCTGGTAACAACTGGAAAGTAGATTAGACAGGACTTAATTTTGCAAGAACATAGGGTAACTCTTCTGATAACCTGTAAGAAGGTTTGTTTTGCCTATCCGAAATATTGCAGCAAAATTAAAGAATTAAAAAGTGACCACTTTCGAATGTTTCACAAGTCTTGCATCTTGACAAACGTTTTTATCAGGCATAGATTTAGTGCTTTGAACGAAGCCATCAGAAAGTGGTATAAAACTAATCTAAACCTTTGTCAAGTAACAAGGGTTTGGCGATTTTCACCCATATTTCGCCTCACTCGGTCCGTCTTCGACTAACGTGACCTAGGGCCCGTTACTCGAACGTCCCGAAAAGTTTTCGCACCCGGAAGGCCGTAGCAAAATCTCAAACCTTATGATTACAGAGCTGTTTCATTCACATATTCTTAATATAAACAGAGGTTCCATTCCGTACAATACGTTTTAGCCGTTCACACCTCTCTGTCTTTAAATACCAATTAACTAAAAATGGTTTTTCGGGCCCGAATAGTTTCCGGGGCTTTCGAGAAACAGGTCCCTGGGGCCCGTTTCTCGAAAGCCCCGGAAACTCGTAAAGCCATAGCAAAATCTGGAACCTAACGATTACAGAGCTGTTTCATTAACATATTCTTAATATGAAGAGAGGCTCCCTTCATACAAGAAATTTCAGGCGTATACACCTCTCCGTTTTAAGATACAGATGAACTAAAAATGGCTTTACGGGTCCGAAAAGTTTCCGGGGCTTTCGAGAAACGGGGACCTGGTCCGAGGGCTTCCGAGGCGATCTCGGATACGTCACCGAAGTCAATTGACCGTGAAGGCCTGGAGAAAGCCGTACAGGAACTACGTAAACTTGGTGTCTGATCTATTGTATTAGCTAGTTACGCCAAACCTTTTTCATTTTACTACTTCAATATTACAATAGGGCTCTAGATCTGTACGACGTTGACGACATAAGAACCTGGAGAACAATCTGTTCCAGGTGCAACATAGCGAGGACTCTTCTGTGCCCGCCGTCGTGCTATTTTGTTTCCTTTTGATTTTTCTTGTTTATATAAGAGTAGCTTAAGTTTAATTCTTATCAGTACCCTGGGATCCACTGTAATTGGCCACGCTGTAGTGGTCTCCCTGCCTGATGCATTTTGTTGTATATAAGTTAGTATTTTAGCTAGGCGAAGTTAAATAACTAAATTTTCAGGAGCGTAGCGTGAATTTTTCATGAGGTACGCAACAAAGAGAAAAATATCAAACGACGAATCGAAGGCGCGAGTCGCCAGGACTTCCTTTTATTTTATTTTGGGGAGCAATAACATTGGTGGTCTCATGCATCACTCAATAGCTTACTTGGGTGCATGGTCGCTGAAAGCGTGGTAAGACTGGAACACAAGTGTCACATCCCTCCCTGCCGCCATACGTAAGACATCTTTACCACCGGGATGAACAGCGAGAAACTTACTGACGTCATAAACCTACAAAGGTATTATAGATTATATTGAACTCTATTGGTTTGTGATAATGTAATTTATTTTATTATTTATCCATAGTTCATATAGGGGAATGGTTATGAAACCCGACAAAGTTCTTTGTTGTATGTTTTGCTCGCTTTTTTGGCCTTGACCGTGCACAAAACACAATAGTTGTTTACTCCGTACTGTGGAACTAACCAAAAGAGAAACGTGTTGGTTACGTAATCATGCATAGTGTATGAGCGCAAGACAAAAGACTGCGCACGGTCGTGGACCTTCCAACATAACTCTTGGCATCTTTGTTTGCTCCTTTGATGTTTGC